TCTACATGCTGGCTCCATTGTGGTAATGAGTCCCTTTGTAAATTAGTCCCTCTCCAAGTAACTTGAGTGTGCTATTTCCTGCTGGGACCCTGACTGAGACAGTGCAGCTGGGGCTCCATCTCCCTGGTTTTATGGAGGGTGGGAATCAGGGTAGAAGTGTAGAACTTTAGATGTTAGGTGTAAGTTTCCTGAGGGCCAGAACTCTGCAAAGGGGTGATCCACATATTCTGAACAGTGAGATGAGAGAGTGCTTTGGGTTCTCTATGTCAGGGACCAGGATCTGGCCTTCATTCTCTGAAGGGTCATGCATTCTGCCTCTGTTGAAATCTAGTGCTTTGGCACCATTGATGTCTCTTGATGTCCAGAGGCTCATCCAGAGTGAGATACAACTTGCCTGGCAAAGCCTCCTGGAGGGCTGAAATATGGATGGACACAGAGAGGGCTCCATGTCCCCATTACCTCCCCAGAACAGGGAGTGTTCCAAGGACAAAAGTGTTCCAAGTTGTAGAATTAGGATGAAATTCCATGAAACCCATTATGTGCATTGAAGAACATACATCCATGTTTCAATTTCCAAATAGTTCTCACTCTTCCCTGATGTCTTAGTTTGTGTTGCTGTAAAGAAACACCTGAGGCTGGGTCATTTATGAAGGAAAGAGGTTTATCTGGTTCATGGTTCTGCAGGCTGTACAAGAAGTGTGGTGCCAGCATCTGCTTCTGGTGAGGGCCTCAGGAAGCTTCCAATCACAGCAAAAGGTGAAGGAGAGCAGGCATCACACAGCGAGAGAGGAAGGAAGAGGAGAGAGGAGGAGAGAGGTCCAGGCTCTTTTTTAAAACAATCAGTTATCATAGGAATCAATAGAGTGAGAACTCATTCATTACCAAGAAGATGGTACCAAGACATTCAATGAGGGATCTGCCCCCAAGACCTATTATCTGAACACCTCCCACCAGGCTCCACCTCCAACACTGAGGATCAAATTGCAGCATGAGGTTTGGTGGGAGCAAATATCCAAACCACATCACCTGACAAAGTACAAACAATGACTCAAAGCCCCATTCAGATGCCCTGTGCTCATCAGTGTTTCTGTTGTCTGGAAGGTGACGCCGAAGAAGTTGGCCCCAACTCCAGACCCAGATGACTGTCCAGCTGACTCACCAGCCTGAGAAAAGGAAACAGAAGAGGAAAACCCAGATTTGAGGCCAGGGGATGGAACATGGAGAAACACGACAAAGGAGAAGCTTAAAGCAGAACAGACCACAGCCAAGGAGATGTCTCTGAGTTGGAAGGAGAACACCACCATTTTCTTCAAAATATTTTATTGGTGAGTATTTTTCTGGTAATAGAAGTCATACATGGTCCTTGGTAGAAAATATGGAAAATACAGGATCTGATCATTGTAGAAAGCTTAGTAAATACAAGGTGTCATGGTAGTCAAGGTGAGAGATGACAAGGACCCTGTTATGGATTGAGCTGTGTTTCCCTGACCCAAATTCGTATGTTTAAGTCCTAACCCCCAGTACCTAAGAATGTGACTGTATTTGGACATAAGGTCTTTAAAGATGTAATTAAATTAAAATGAGGTCATTGGGGTGGGCCCTTAATTTAATATGACTAGTGTCCTTATAAGAGGAAGAGATTAGGACACAGACACACACAGAGGGGAGACCACGTGAAGACACATGGAGAAGACGACCATCCACAAGCCAAGGGGAGAGGCCTCAGAAGAAACCAACCCTGCTGACACCTTCATCTCAGACTTCCAGCCTCCAGAATTGTGAGACAATACACTTCTGCTGTTTAAGCCACCCAGTCTGTGCTACTTTGTCGTGGCAGCCCTAGCAGACGAATGCAGACCCCAACCTTGGGCAGTAGCAGACACATGGAGAAGAGGGAAGGGATGGAAGACATTTTTAGGAGGTGAAATTGGCAAACTTGGTTGAATGGCTCCATATGGACAAGTGGGGGTGCAGAGTAGTGGAGAATTTTGTTAGTTTTCTAAGCCTGAGCAGCTGGATGGATGAGGGTGCCCCATCTCATCAACTGTGATGGAGAATCCACGAGGAAGAGTTGCTGTTTGGAGGAGTTGAAGGGGAGATGCGGGAGGGGCACCCGGTGGGGATGCCTGTTCTCTGGTTGATCTAGTCCAGGGCTTCAAGCCAAGGGCTGGAGGGAGGCACAAGGGCACATCAGTGCGAGCGGAAAGCATACTGTGAGTAGAGGAGGGTGGCAGAGGACAGACCCCCGGGGAGGTGCACATTTATTTTCTTGGAGGAAGGGACCATCATGTATTGTGCTGATGATCGCATCGCAGCTGTTCACATTTATTAGGTTGATTCCAAAATATTGTCTGCCTCCCCTAATTTCTCTTTCAACCCATTGTTTAAAAATTCCCAAGATAGGCACAGACAGACTACTCCCCAAATGCTAAATTGGTCAAATTAGGGGGAAGGCTGTCTCTTTAACCTACCCCTGTGATTATTTGGTACACATGGTGCTTAGCATGCTGGCGTCCAGGAACCACCATATGTGCAGGTAAGTGCAGAGCCGAGTGGTCAAACAATGGGCTGTTTTGCTTTTAGCAATACATGCTCTTACTTTTTTGTACCCCTCTGGCCTCCTTTCTTTAAACATTTTTTAATTGAAAAGCATATCAATGTGTGTTAGAAATGTGTGGGAATGGAAACAATAGTCTCTCCTAATGGTGTGAATAATGATGTGATTTTTGTTATTATCATATTAGTGCCAGCATATCTTGCAGGATTACTATGTATCAGGCACTATGCTGTATTGTTTCTCTTAGGATATGTAGTTTTCCACGAAGACATACGATTCTGAAACCCTGGAGAATACAAAATTGAAAATTAGCTTTCTGTTTAAGAGTGCAGGCTCTGGATTGAGGTTGCCTGAGTTAGAATTCTGATTTCCTCACTTATTAAACTAATGCCATTCTTGGTGAGCTACTTAATGTCTGTGTCTCAGTTTCCTCATCTGTAACAGTGTCTTCCTCACAATTTAATATGAGTGTCAAATTTGATAATATGGGGAAAGCATGTAGAACAGTGCCTGGGACATAGTAAAAGCTCAATGAATTTCACTGTAAGGGCTCCCTATATATGAGTATTTCAGGAGGTTTTTTTCACATGACTTAAGATTGTTTTTGGAAAATAAAAAATTAATAAACAAGAGCTAGCACGGCTATCTTTAGGCCTCAGTTGTATTAAACTCAAAGACTTAGTATTTCTCCAATACTCTGTAAACTCTCCCATGCTTGTTTCATGTACATTTCTTCAGTCCATCTCTCTGCATTGAGGCTAGATCAGCTACCTGCCTGCTTCTGTTTAAAGAAATGATTTCCTTCTTTGAAAAAAGAACATGCCTATGGTGTCTCCTTACTACAACATGTTTGGGATTCCAGCAATTTCTTTAAGTTACTTCCTGAATGGAGTTGTCACCATTATCCTACTTTAAAACTCCAGTATTCAGTTCCACATTTTAAAAAGTTCTTTAAAATCTCATACCAAGAGGAAGACGCCAGTCAGTCTACTGCCTGACATTTTATTAAGAATTAAAAATAATGAAGCCAGCAGAGATACAGAGAGAGACTAATTTAGAAACCTGGCATGATTGCTTTTAATTTGTTGACAATGTGGTGTTTGTGGGGGAAGGGAGGTGGTGGGGGAAGGACAGGGTACCGCATGGCCAGGCTCAAGCAGGCCTTGCATTAATGGGGTAACAGCTGAACTAAGTGTTCACAGTGAACACATCAAAGATTGTAGTCTTTGAGATACCATTTTTTCTATTCCAGGGTGTCAAAGGTGGCTGCAAATATATCCAGCGCTTTCTGGGTGGCATTGTTTAGGATGCTGGCCCAGCAGATGGCCCCAAATGCACCTCAGCCTGGTAAAGCTGAGACCACATGGGATGACATAGTCTTCTCATTAGCAAACAGGAAAAAAAAAAAGGCAAGGATGAGAAAGGAGAGAGATAAAAAGAATACACAAAGACATTTACATATTTACATTGTCTCCTCCACATTTCAAATTCTCCTTTAGCTGAAGTGTCAGTGGGCTTGCTTTTCTCCTTCTGTTTGTATGTTTACTTGTGCTAAATAGATTATGCTAATTAGGCACATAAATGCATGCAACTGTTATTATGGCATTTTAATCACAGAGTTTTTCACTGGAAGCCTTCATTAGAATTCTCATAATCTTACTTGTTAGTGTAACAAACAGTAATAAATGCCAAGGAGCTTGGATTAAGGCAGAGGCATTCAGACTTTAAAAGAGGAATATGGAAATGTTGTCAAATCTCTGCATTACTTATTGAAATGTCACATAAACAGTTCGGGACTCTAAATATCTTACTCATTATAAGGATAGGGAACCAGGCAACCTGAAAATAGTAATTATGTCTTTCTTCCGAGCGCCAACATATGCCATTCATACATTCCAACTAACTCTTCTGAAATAACCGGATGGTCCAATATACAACCTGGGCCATGATGTATGATTGTGATAAATTAGAGAAATTTGTTATTTGATTTCACTTATTTTAGGCTTAGTGGTAAATATGTGTGAACACAAACACATATAGAAATTTACTGTCTTTCAATTTTGCACAATTATTTGGCAAGTTGCTAGAAAAAAACCGCAGTTCTTTTTTTGTTTTCTAGGAAGCAATATCATAGCCATGTGCTTAAGAATAAGCCACTCTCTGAAAATAATGTGGTCTTGCAAACAGGTCTAAGCATTGGGACATAGTAGATGACTATCCTGATCTTGCACAAGCCCACAACGTAGATGTGACAATCTAAGTTCCGGGGGAAACTCCCTTACCATAGTTATGTGTTGCTGTGGGATAAACTACGCCACAAGTCAGTGGCTTAAAACAAAAACAATGACTTCTTTCTCATGATTCTGCTAAAGCAGCCATGTAGAGATGACCCAACGAGAGAAACTGAGGCCCGAGCCAAACAGCCTCCACGGAGTATCCAGTTTGCATCTTCCAGCTGTCCCAGCATCTCAGCCTGCACCAAGTTAAGCAGAACGTCTTGGTAAAGCCTCAAGTTAATTACTCGTCTGGGGGCTGCACTCTTCCCCATTTGGCACTCTCTTGAAGGAATCTTTGGTTTACCCTCTAGCAATAAAACTGCCACCCACTTCTCAGAGGTCCCGAGGACCACTTGGTGCCGGAGGAGGCTGGCTCTGCCTTGGAGAACCAATGGAGGGGATCTTTTCCCCACTCCACATTCGGTAACTTGAAATTGGCCAGGACAGGCGCATGTCCACCATGGAAACTGGTGGATGTTTTTCCCTTGGAGAACCAGTTGTCGAACATTTCCCAGCACACCATTGCCCTGAGCCCTGAAATGTGCCTGGGCAACCTCACCGCACCCTCCTACTACAGCCTCGGACACAGTGGTTCTCAAACTCAGATGTATAGAACCCACCCAAGGGACTTGCACACTTCGCAAATACTCACCCTCCTTGTCGCTCATCTTCCAGCCATAACCGGGACATGGTAGGAACTCAAGAAATGCTTCTTGAGTGAAAAAATGAACACGACTTTAAGGTGGGTAGTAGTATCATCTGCATTTTACAGATGAGGAAACCAAGGCACAAAATTGTTGGAAAAAAAAAAAGTTGCCCAAGGTAGCATAGCTAGTAGGTACAGGAGTCAAGTGCAGGTCTGTCTGGCCCAGACAAATGCACATAGTGGACTGAAAGATCCCAGGCGATGGCCCTGCAGAGTCCCAGTGCCTGGTCCCACCTAACAGCGATGGCGGGTCCCACCTACCATCACGGCTGGCTTATCATCAGCAATCATTTTGGCCCCGCCATGATGGTGCCCTTAGTGAGCTCAGGGCAGTGGACTTACACATTGTGAACTGACTACGGGACAATGCCTGAACTGTGCAGCAAACATGACTATGAGGCAGTATCACGTGAAATTTTGGAGAATAGGTTTGGGGTCTAAAAGCACTGGGTTCACATACCACCTAGGCACCTCAATTTCCTCATATGCAAAAGAGGACTTATTCCTTAGGTTAGTCAATTTGTTGACTTAAAAATATTTGTGTAGTACCTACTCAGCCATATACTACAGGCAAAACAGGCTTCATGGCCCCTGTCTTTCTGGAGGTTAAGAAATTCTGAATAATACAAAACATGATGCATTTTCAAACTCAACCCCTGGCATGTACAAAGTGCTTGTCTTAATCAGAATTCCTAGTAAATAACCGTTAAGTTCTGTGGATGCAGAGGCTGCACCCATCGTGATAATTGCTGTATTTCTAGTTCCTGGCACATAATTGATGCCCAATAAGTTTTTCTTGCATACATTAAAAAGAGTTTCTTCTCTTGTAAATGACAGATGCCCAGTTGAAACAGCTTGAGGAAAAGGAGGGGTTTGTGGGCAACTTGAGCTTGGCTAGCCCCGGGTGCCTGCTAGCTGTTGCTGCGAGTCTGACTCTGACTTGTCTCTGCTTTCCTAGAGGCTGCTTCTCTTCTGCCAGCAGCACAAGGCTCCCACACCACCAGCCCAGGCCTCTCAGCAGAAAGAGAATTTTCCCTTCCAAAGACTGCCAGGGTTGATTCCTCCTGGCCCAGGGGAGGACATGTGTTGGTTCCACACCAGTCACAAGGAACTGGCTGGCCAGCCCCAGACCGCACGTCAACCCCTGGGATGGGTGAAGTCCAGCCTCACTGGACCCAAATGCACTGAGGGTTGGGGAGAGGTGATTGCCCCCACCCCCTCCCAATTAGGGAGCTAGAACTGGCTACCTTCAGTTCTGTGGAGGGTCAGTGGATTCATGCAGATGTGGAGACCCAAACAAATGACTCTGGGAGTTGTATGGACCTTAGGGGTAAGGGAGAAGGGCTCAGTGAGAAAAAGCACTGAATGCTGAGCCAGAGTCACAGGGAAACATCTCCAAGGTTTCTCCCTCCTTTCCTGTATTAGTCCGTTCTCACGCTGCTGATAAAGACGTACCCCAGACTGGCCAATTTATGAAAGAAAGAGGTTTAGTGGACTCACAGTTCCACATGGCTGGGGAGGCCTCCCAATCACGGTGGAAGGTAAAAGGTATGTCTCACATGGCAGCAGACAAGAGAAGAGAAACTGTGCTGGGAAACTCCCCTTTATAAAACCATCAGATCTCATGAGACTTGTTCACTATCATGAGAACAGCAAAGGAAAGACCTGTCTTCATGGTTCAATTACCTCTCACCTGGTCCTTTCCACAACATATGGGAATTGTGGGGCTATAATTCAAGAGGAGATGTGGGTAGGGACACAGCCAAACCATATCATTCCCCCATAAGGAGGCCTTGGCAGGGTGCCTGAAGAAGGTCTTGGACACAGAGACCCGGGAATGCAGGTACAGGGCTGGGAACACAGGTCCATGTAACTGCATGGCCAGCCACGGTCCTGAGACCTTGACCACTGCTCCCTTCTGGGACTGCCAGTGCCCTGGCTATGCCAGGTCTGGTGTGGAGTGGGAGCCTCCCCATAAGGCCTGCCAGGTACAGCCTTGTAGTTGCCCACAGCCAGGCCTGAAAAATCACAACTAAAAGTCAGACTCCTCAGTGGGAAGTTCTATTGCTCGCCATGGAAAACATCATAACATGACAATTTGGAATCTCTTAGTGATGAGGGAAAAAAAAACCCAACTCAGATGGGATTAAAAAGATAAAGGATATGTGATTTTAAAATGGACAGAGGACTTGAATAGACATGTCTCCAAAGATGATATATGAATGGCCAACAAGTATCTGAAAAGATGCCCACGTGACTAATCATCAGTGATGTGGAAATCAAACCTACAATGAGATATCACCCCATACCCAGCAGGATGGCCACTATAATAAAAGCCCCAGAAACTACAAAGTGTTGGCAGGGATGTAGATGTGTTCATTCATCTCTTCACTAGCTGTTAAATGCTACCAGCATTAGGCCCTGAGCATAGAAAAATGGTTAAGACAATAGGTGTAGACAGTAGTCTACTTAGGGACATTGTCAGAAGAACAAATACAGTAACTGCTGTAATAGATACACATACACTATGTGCTGTAATTTAAAAGTACTATAATAGAAATTTTGTGCATTTACGTATTTATTTAAGAGATGGGGTCTCACTCTGTCACCCAGGCTGGAGTACAGTGGCACAATCGTCATAACTCACTGCAGCCTCCAATTCCTGGGCTCAAGAAATCCTCCTGCCTCAACCTCCCAATGCGCTGGGATTACAGGTGTAAGCCACTGTGCCCAGCCGCTCCTGACAGTTTTATGAGAAGAGCAAGCACTTGTATTCCTGTTAAGTTCCCAGTAAACCTCTCCTAACTTTCCATTGGCTGGATTCAGGTTATTTTTCATTGAGCCAGTCACTGTGGCCAGGAGGATGGGATGTGCTGATTGGACTCACCAATCAGGGCCCATTCAGGTGTGGAGGGTAGAGTTCGCTTTTTCAGATGTGCATGGGCTGTGCCTGGGAAGGTAGTATGGTTAAAAGGAAATGAGATGCAGGCAACTAGAAGGCGGGGTGGATGCTAGGCAGGCTACAAGATACAGTTGTCAATTACATTGTGGCATATGGGTTGCTAACCTGGCATAAATAATTCAAATTATTGGCTGGGCGCGGTGGCTCATGCCTATAATCCCAGCACTTTGGGAGGCCGAGGCGGGCGGATCATGAGGTCAGGAGTTCGAGACCAGCCTTACCAACATCGTGAAACCCCGTCTCTACTAAAAATACAAAAATTAGCCAAGCATGGTTGTGCACATCTGTAATCCCAGCTACTCAGGAGGCTGAGGCAGGAGAGTCATTTGAACCTGGGAGGCGGAGGTTGCAGTGAGCTGAGATTGTGCCACTGCACTCCAGCCTGGGCAACACAGTGAGACCCCTTCTCAAAAAAAAAAAAAAAAGATTTCAAATTATTTTAATGGGAGAGGTAGCTGCAGCTTTCCCTGTGTTTAGCCAGACTGAGAGCCTCCCCACTAAACCAATGACAGCTGAGGATAAAAGATGTGTGTCTCAATGTGTCAGCCACTCCTTGGCCATAAGTCTAGACCAGTGACTAGAGGTCTGGCAGTAGGTATTAAATTTTTCCAGCCTGTGTGATGCTTCTCTTCTTCCCTGTCCTTTGTGGAGTCACAGATGTGAGCTACCAGAAGACAAGTGGAAGAAAATGGCTTGAAAAACAGACAGAACCTGATATTAGCATTCTTGGTACTGAAAAACCTGGGCTCATCTTCTGTTTCTGTAATTTACTGGCTGTGTGAACTTCGGCAAATTTCAGAACCTCTATGATTCAGCTTCATCTATAAAACTGGAGTAATGATGTGATGATCAAATATGCAGGGTTGAGATAAAGATGGAATGACATCAAGGTGCTGCCCTATGGAAGTACTCAGTAAATGGGAATTATTTTTGGTATTAATTTATTGAGGGCTTTGTATGTACCAAGTGCTATGCTAACTGCTAGAAATATACTATGCCATTTAATTTTCCCAACAAGTCTATGAGGTAGGCATTTTATCTACATTTTACAGTTGTGAAAACTGAAGCTCAGAAAGGTTTTATAACTTTTCTTTTTCTCACCCAGCCAGCAAGTGGATTCAGACAGGTCTATCCGATGCCTGGGATGGTATTTTATTTGCTACATTATACTGTCTCCTGCAGTGCTGATGAAAAACAGTTGCTCAGCTGAAACCTATTAGCCCCCAAGGTGATCTGTGAATGAGTTTCAGGGAATCTCTCAGCCCCTTTATATGATATGCAGACTTCTGTGTATATATTCATTTTTCTGGAGAGAGAGTTTATAGCATTCAGTAGAAAGCTGTTCCTGTTCTCCAAAAAATGGTAATTTTTAATAAGGAGAAATCAGATAATGTACATAGCAGGGTTTTATTCCATTTCCATGTATCCAGCTATCCATGGGTTGGACAATGGGTAAAAACCTGTAGTTAGATAAAAGGTATAAATTCTAATGTTCGATAGCAGTGACAATAGTTAGCAACAATATATCA